TTTCATGAGGAGAAGAACCTGGAAGGATTTCAAATGGAAGCAAACCCACGGTAACGGAGACAACATTTCATGAACACAACAACATCCATGCCAACAAAATGGAAACACAGACACAACAAGAACATGGAAAAGGGAAAGGACACAATTTCGCCGCTTAAGAGAACAAGATGGAAACAAAGACAAAGTAACACACACAACATTTGGCAAACAGAACAACATCCATGAGGAGAACAACAAGGAAACGGAGATACAACACCTGATCCAACGAAACACGGGGATGGGAAGGGAAACAACCTTGGCTTAAAGAGAAGAACATGGAGCCAACAAAACACAAAAGGAAACAGGAACCTTCGATTAAAGACAAGTAGATGGAGCCACGTTTCAATGCAAACAAAATGAGGTGGCATGCATTTACAAATTGGACAAAAGAGGGAGCCTCTATTCGGGTTGGTTTGTTGGATCATGGGGCAGATGAGATCCAATTACCCAATTTCTGGTCAAAGTTTCAACACCCTGGATGACATGGAGTAAGTGGCCACATGGCATTACCTGATTGGCTGTCCGTACAAAGGGCACCAAAACCCTCTATTCCCAAAGGGCACGCAAGTAATGTCCATCACTATATCCAACAAGCTTGTAATCGTTAGAATTTGAGTAGTATAGGCCAAAGCTTGTCGTACCTTTGATATATCGAAGAAGCCTCTTCGCAGTCTTGAGGTGAGTAGTTGTTGGACCCTCCATGTACCGACTCACGACTCCAAAATTATAAATAGTTATTCAAATATATAATTTAATACAAAATTTAATTGTACATAATAAATATTTAACTTATTAAAAAAGGTTAAAATATTAGTTACAATATCCTCCATTCACCAAATTTTATCCTAGATTACAACACTCCTCCTTCGTAACATGAGTAACACTGCCGCCATTGAATCCTCCATCAAATTTCACTCAATTATGATTTATGATTTATGATTTATGAACAAACCAAAATTCACATTCAATTTTGTTTTTAAAGATTATTTTTTGCCTCCATGGAATTAATTATTGAATTGTTTATTCTCCTAACATAATTTTTTTAAAGAATAAAATATGTTTTTATCAGTCAGTTAAAATATTTTTAAAAGTTAATTTTAGTCTTTATAAAAATTTATAAATTCAAATATATATTTTTTCCTTAAATTTAGAATAAATTTAATATTGATCTCTCAGATTTTATACAATTGTTTTTTATTTATATAATTTAAATTTTTTTTATTTTAATTCTTACATAATTAATAACTATTTAAGAGTGATATATTAAGATAATTATGTAGATGTCAACTGAGTTTGATATTTTTACTAATAGAGATATGATAGATTTTATGCAACAATATTTGACAGATTTTTTAACAAAATTTAAATATAATAATTAAAATATTTTTTTAAAATTATAAGACTAAAAATATTAATTTTAAATTAAAAATTAAAAATAAATTTATCTTTAATTTGAAAAATTAAAAATATATTTAAGTCAAATATATAAATTTATATATTGTTAATTTTTAGTAAAAAATAAGTTAAAGACTAAAAAATATAATATTTTTAGAAATTCAAAATAATGAAGACTAATATTATATATTGTCTTTTCTGAAAAATAAATAATTAGTTGCGTAAAATTAATTTCCACTCTAACTCCGGTAAAGTGAGTATGCTAACTAATGGACCAATCAATGTGAAAAATAAGAAACATTTCTCCTATTTAGTTGGGATAAGTTTAAATATCATGTTGATATACCTATTAATGTTTTATTGAATATATTTTTAAGTCCCTGCAAGTAAAATAATATTTACTTTTAGTTTTTAAAAAATAAATCGTAATTTTTTGGTCCGCATTTATGAACTATGAGAAGAAATTTAGAAGGGTGCAGTTAGTAAAATAGGGATGCAAAATAAAAGTTAACTTTCGTCCTCGGCTTTGGGCCCCTTTGATACCCGGTGTGCATTGAACCAAAAAAAAAAAAAAAAGGAAATGAAAAAGAAAGCCGCGTGATATTTAATTGAAAATTCTACAGAGAGAAGTGGGCGTAGCTGGTCAGCACTGACCTCCGATGTTTCTCGGCAGGAACCAATACAAAAATACAACAGCATCCTAAAATTAACAAGAAAAAAAATAGAAATATTTTCCGAAACTAAATTTGTGGAGATCTGTCGGAGAAGAAAGAAGTGAAAGGAAGGCTATTATCCTCTTTCCATTCGTTGGTTCAGCTTCTGGTTCTGGTACGCTTAATTGATTGTATTTGGTTTATTATTATGATTAGATGATGCGATGATTTGTTTATGAAGCGAGGGGAAGCTGATGAGAGATCGTTGTTGGATGAATATATGATAATAATAATCGGTGTGTTTGATGGGCAACACATGCCGCGGATCTTTGAAAGGGAAATATATTCAGGGCTTCAGCCAGCCCGAAGACCACTCCAAGCGCACAACCCATTCTGATCGCTCCGACTCAACTAAGCAAATTCCCAATTCCGCAGAAAACAAAAATCTACCCTTGAACGCCCGGAAAGAAGCCATCATGCGCCGAGGCCTCGACAACCAAGCATACTATGTCTTGGGCCATAAGACTCCCAACATTCGTGATCTATACACTCTTGGCCGCAAATTGGGCCAGGGACAATTCGGCACCACTTATTTATGCACCGAGAATTCCACCTCCAATGAATATGCTTGCAAATCCATCTCCAAACGGAAGTTGATTTCCAAGGAGGACGTCGAGGACGTTAGGAGGGAAATTCAGATTATGCATCATTTAGCTGGTCACAAGAACATTGTCACCATCAAGGGTGCTTATGAGGACCCTCTCTATGTCCATATTGTCATGGAGCTTTGTTCTGGTGGTGAGTTGTTTGATCGCATCATCCAGAGGGGCCACTATACCGAGAGGAAGGCCGCTGAGTTGACCAGAATCATTGTTGGTGTTGTTGAGGCATGCCATTCCCTCGGGGTTATGCACAGAGATCTCAAGCCTGAAAACTTTTTGTTGGTTAATAAAGATGATGATTTCTCTCTTAAAGCAATTGATTTTGGCCTCTCCGTTTTCTTCAAACCCGGTAACAAATATTTCCCTTTTCTTTTTCGTTATATCATCATCTCTCTACTTTACTTTTTACAACTTTATTTATATTGAATTAATTGTATTTTTTTTATCTTCTTTAATTTGATGCTTCTGATTTGTTTCCAATTACAATTTCTTGAACTTTACTGTTATTCCCGTTCAGGGGTTTTAGTAGTTATTGTTCAGGAAAAAGAAAAACCATTTAATGCTAATTAATGGTTGTTTAAATCTTCATTGAACGTTTCTTCCTCAGGTCAAGTTTTCACTGATGTAGTTGGCAGCCCATACTATGTTGCTCCTGAGGTTCTCCTCAAGCATTATGGGCCTGAAGCAGATGTGTGGACAGCAGGTGTAATACTATACATATTACTTAGTGGCGTGCCACCGTTTTGGGCAGGTATATCTCATTGCCAGCACTATTTTGATTTCCTGTCCTGCATCTATGTCATCACTGAAAGTTTTGTCCTTTTGGAGTTCAGAGACCCAGCAGGGTATATTTGATGCAGTATTGAAGGGACATATAGATTTTGACTCAGATCCTTGGCCTCTAATATCTGACAGTGGAAAAGACCTGATTAGAAAGATGCTGTGTTCTCGGCCTTCGGAACGGTTGACTGCTCATCAAGTGTTATGTATGTTCATCCTATTTTCTATACTTACTATAAAGCAATGACCAACCTCATATCAAAAGAATAGTTGTTTTGCCCTTTTGGACTAGTCGCTATCTCACCATGGTTACTCAGCGGATGTTATTATAGATGTATAGCACACTCACCCAGTAATAGTAACCTGGATGTTAATGTTTCCTCAAAAGCAAATTCCAGATTAGTTTCCTTAAGGATTAAATTTTGTAAGTATTCAAAATATTGTGTTTCAATGTGTTTGCCTGAAGATGTTAGTTGTGTCATCTCCCTATTTAGGTCATCCTTGGATATGTGAAAATGGAGTTGCCCCTGACAGGGCACTGGACCCTGCTGTTCTTTCTCGTCTCAAACAATTTTCAGCAATGAATAAGTTAAAGAAGATGGCTTTGCGGGTAAGTGAAGCTAATTGATGAATGAATATCAGATTATGTATGAATGTAGCTCATGCATTGTTATGAAAAAGATGATGCTTTCCGTAAATGATATGTAAAGTGCTATTGTTGCCTTTCCTCACTTACTCTTTGCTTTCACTTCTCCTTCATATATTATCTTTTTGCTTGTCTGAAACTAGTTAACTGTAGTTATAATTGTGTATCATGCTATTTTTCAGGTAATTGCTGAAAGTCTATCTGAAGAGGAGATTGCTGGTTTGAGAGAAATGTTTCAGGCTATGGATACTGATAACAGTGGTGCAATCACTTTTGACGAACTCAAAGCTGGTCTAAGAAGATATGGGTCTACCCTTAAGGATATAGAAATACGTGATCTTATGGAAGCGGTAGGTGTGGGTTCTGTGAAAATTTCTTTTTTGCATTTCATGTTCGTAGTTCAATTTTATTTAGTTATACTTTTTGGAATATAATATTTTAAATTTCCTTATATATTCCCTTGTACTTTTTAAGTTTGTATTGTATTCTTTGCATTCACTCTGTTGCATGGTTCTTTTTTAATCTCTGTTACATGTTGAGTTCATAGTTCATGAATCAAGCATTGAAAGAGGACATGGTATTTAAGTAATTAAATAAATATGTATTGGGTCAATGGAGCATGGCTTAATTGTGTTTTTGAGCTTGGGATGATTCAAGTTTAAAGTCTTGTATTATGTCAAGTCACCGGTTTATGTTTATCATGTTGTGCGTTTGATAACCAATGATGATAAGAAATCAACTTTTTTATTTTTATATATTTTTCATAACAACTTATGAATATAAAAACCAAAGCTTTAATTTGTGTATGTCTATTGGATAAGCTATTGTTATGTCCTTTAGGTTCAAGGACCCACATTAATTTATCATTTTAGATACTTTGCATGTAAGGAGAGTTTATATATTTGGTAAAATTAAAAAGTTAATGCAGGAAATCATAGTTTTAAAAACCAGACCGGTCATCGAACCGGTTAGGGTACTGGGTCACTGGGTCAAAGGTTGAACAGGTGGGTCACTAATTGAACCGCATGACCCAGTTTTTATTAATTTTTTTTAAAAAAATATTCATGTTAAATATATTTTATACTTATAAATTTCAATAAATTCATATCCTATTTTAAATTTCAATTTCCATCTTATTTAAAATTATCTTTATTTTTATTTTGTATAAAGAAATACATAAAAAAAATTACATGTTAAACTGTATATTAATACAAATTAAAAATATAAATAATATGTACATATATAATATGTTTGCAATTGATATCACAAAATAATATATGTAATATCTACATAGATATTATATTATTAAATATATAATTTAAAATTAATAATATACTATAAAAGTTATTTAAGTTGCATATATTACAAATAAATACATTAGAACAAGTAGTCATTCTTATGTTTAATAAGACTCTTTGCTCTTCCATTAATAGATACAATTCTCATTATTATTTTTGTACTTTGTGGTCCTTTAAAAAAAATTAAAAAAAAATTGTAGTTGAACTGGGTCAATGTCGAACCGGAAAATTGACCGGTTTAATCCGGTTTGAAACGGGTCGAATGCATAACCGATTCAACCTAAGATTCGGACCGGTTGGACCACCGGTTCCCGGTTCAACTGGCCGGTTCGATCTGGTTTTTAAAACATTGCAGGAAATAATAGGACATGTTTGCTAATATATATATATATATATATATATATATATATATATATATATATATATATATATATATATATATATATATATATATAAAAAGAGGAATTCACTTACTCTAAGAGTATATCTTAATAGACTTTCCATTTAATAACTCATGTTGTAGATTAAATTTCAACGATCTAAGTGATAAATTAAAGGATTTTAATGCATAGATCAAGTCTACAAATTTTTAAAAAATTTGAAAACTATTTGATATTTCGTTTTATTAATTCAAATTAGCAGATAATTATAAAATATTTTATACATTGATTTGAATTTAAATAACAAAATATCATATGATTTTTAACTTTTAAAAAAATTGTAGACTTGATTTATATATTAAGAATTTTTAATTCAATTGTTGAATTATTAAAATTTAGTATAAAATATAAGTTATTGAGTGGAGTAAGTCTACAAAAATTTACTCTTAAAGTAAGTGGATATATATATGAGGAAGGATTCGTTTACTCTTGGAGTAAGTCTACTTAGATTCGTTCAATAACTCATGTTCTACATCAAATTTCAACGATCCAATCGATTAATTTAAAGTTCTTAATGCATAGATCAAATCTGCAAATTTTTAAAAAATTTGAAAACCATTTGATACTTTATTTCATAAATTCAAATCAATGTATAAAATGATTTGCAGGGATTCTTTATTTGCTGGGAATTTGTTACTTTGACAGTGGGGTTGACATTGGGCATCACATTAGTGAGGCATATTTAAAATGTGATACTACTGTAGAAAACGAGGAACTAATCAGTCATTGTGTATTCATGTTAAATAAGCTTTGATCATGTTCAATGCAGCTAAAATGTTTGAGCTGTTTCAGGCTGACGTGGACAAAAGTGGAACCATAGATTATGGAGAATTTATTGCTGCAACAGTTCATCTCAACAAACTAGAGCGTGAAGAACATCTCATTGCAGCATTCCAGTATTTTGACAAGGATGGTAGTGGTTATATCACAGTTGATGAACTTCAACAAGCTTGTGCAGAACATAACATGACTGATGTTTTTCTTGAAGATATTATTAGGGAAGTTGATCAAGATAATGTAAGTTGTTTAGACTTGTGCTATACACTCACATAGGATATCCTTGTAGGATGTTAGAAGTTACTGTTACAGTCAAGCATTATATATATATCCTCCCGAAATAACTGCACTGTTAGTCTTCAAATTTTCTGTACTGCATTAACCTTAAATTGGTTTTTATTTTGAAATCTAAAATGTTCTTTAGTGAAAGAATGCTTACATGTTGCAAACAATATTTGATTTGCGCTTATCATGCATTAACTGGACTTTTGTTTCAAAGCTACAATAATTTTGTTACTTAACATCTTAATACTGCAAGGATTTTACCTCAAAACAACTCCCATGTTCTGATTAATCAATATCAACATACATTACATGTAAATTGTTATGGTAGGTGGTAGCAATTAAAAAGAAATTATATTTTAATTTTTTTGCATACTAAGGAAAACTTGTTTATCTCGATAAAATGCATGTGCAGTGTCCTAGAAAAATTATAATAATTGCTGTAAAAACTATACAATTTCATAAAATCTTCAAAATAAAAGAAATCAAAAAATGATAGTAACTAGTTTATATTCAAAAAATTAAGGATATGTTAATTGTTTAAGAGTATTTTGCTATTTGGATTATGTTGTGATAGTCAAAGACACTTGATAAAAGGCTAGACAATAAATTGTTCTGGATAACTATGATTACCATAATTGCTTACCTTTTGCAATTGACCAGGGCCTTACGATTATAACTTTAGGTATACTAATTGAAGCAACACTTGGCATCACCTGCCCTCCTCTCTTCCCAAAATAAAAAATATTCTGAACTGCTGTAGTTCTAATTTGTTGTATTATTTGCTACAAGAATTATGTAATTATACTATTACTAATTAATTATCGTAATTATAATTTTTGTGAAAAGTGATATTACTATTGAGAAATTCTAGCATTTTACTAGTTTCCAACATACTCCTAGTATTACTCTTTATTTAGTGGGACCTACATGAAATTTATTCAATAATAGAAAAGTGTTCTGAAAAGTGTGTTGTTAGTACTTAGTATTTCTGTTATTAAAAGCACTTGTGATAGCACACGGTCTTCAAGCTTTTTGTTTTAACCATATTTCTACATGTGCAACTAGATGTGAATTTGTTGGTGTACAGTAGCAAGGAAGGGAATAACAGCCTGGAATTAACGGTTGTTGAGGGCAGCCTGTGAGGGAATTGTGATCAAAACATGATAAGGGTGCTTTGTAATAATCTGCTCACATGGCAGGTGGGGGCAGGAAACAGATTTGGTTAATGAGAAATGGAAGGAGAGAGAAGAGAGGAGTGGGGAAAGATAGGAAAATTGTGCGTGAGACTTGGGATGGGAGGTAGCAAGCCCCTCGAATTGCTTGTAGTATGTCTACATTTATTTTTCTTTTTTTGTGAGGCTTTTCTTTTCTATTATTGTATGAATTCCCACATGAGAATGGTGTTGGTATCCTGTTATCAGAGATGGAAAAGGGAATTTTAGATGTTTTCCTTATGTTTTCAGGTTCCTTTCTGGATGTTAGGGTTTGGCAAGATGCAGAAGCATGCACTATGCTGTTAGGACCTATGCTTGATCTATCCATTAAACGTTTTCTGACCAAATATGTTGTATTTGTGAAAAACAATTAATTAATCAAAACTGTATCATGCCTTAAATAAACTTTAAGTATCAAATGCTTGAATTCTAATAATTTGACAAGCATGGTTTTTTTGTTGCATATCAATATTTAATTGAATTAAGTTCGTGCACCCTCTTGTGTAATTATGCTTCATGATTATGTTTATATCCTTTCAGGATGGAAGGATTGATTATGGTGAATTTGCTGCCATGATGCAAAAAGGCAACCCTGGAATTGGTAGGAGGACTATGCGCAACAGTCTGAATTTAAGCATGAGAGATGCACCAAGTGCTCAATAGCTTCCAATTGTGCTCATTATGTACAGGTACTAGGCTTTGGGTAAAATAGAACTTTATCCCCTGTATAAAATACTATTTTTCCCATTTTATATACTCATAAATTTTTAATTTGTCAAAGGTCAAAAGGCATCACAAATGGTATGTCCTGTACTCACCAACATACTTCCAATATTATTCAGTAGGCCATCTCTAGTTGTTAGAATAGAAAGGCAATAGATTTTTAGTCTCTCACTCTAAGTTAAAGTTCTGCGTCATTGATACACAATATATATCTTTTTTCCTACCATTACTTGTTAGATCCCACTGATTTAACTTCTTCAGCTCCAATTTAACACATCCTTGCAGTTAGTCTTCAGCCAATGAACTTGCTGCTTACAATTACGAGTGTCTTTTTTGTCCGTGTTCAGAGATATTGGCTGAGAATGAATGGTTAATGATGTTATTATGAATGTAGATGGAAAGAACAAATTCAGATTCGGTGTAGGATAAGAGCATGAGGAGGAGGAAGAAAACTGAAAGAATTTAGTTTTGGCTCCTCTAAAATTACAGATGCACTTAGACAAGTGTGGAATTATAACCATTGATCGGAAAATCAATGGTTGATATTGTGATAAAATACATATGCACAACAACAATCAAGTTAAAATTTTAACCGTTGATTTTTCAATTAATTGTTATAACTACGCATTTACTCTTCTTATATAATGCACTTTTCACATCAGAAGTCAAATACTAAGAATTTGCTATCTTTTTAGTATCTATTATTGAAAGAGTTATCAATCGTTGATTTTACCAGGGATGGAAAATTAAACATAATTCTGTCTCAGGAAGGTTCTTCAGTACATGATGAAATAAAACAGACTCTTACGGTTTTCATTTCTAACTTTATGGGTGTGAGGTTAGAGGACATGTTTGTTATCTGAATTTGAAAATATATGATGTTTGGTTTCTATCAAAGCACGGGGTGGAGCTAAGATGCAAGTGTAAATATTCTTAATCAATGTGCCTATGTGGGAAAGAAAATGTCCAAGCATTATGGAGCTGCCTTGTTTATAGCATATACTTTTTAATATGCTGGTGTATGATTTCCTGATGAAAAAATAAATCATTTTGAGGTTTTAGGTTGGCTTGAGTTATGGAAGTATAAATTGAAGAAAGCAATATATCGGCATACATTAGGAGGTGTATGTGAGCCAACTGGCTAATGAACCTTTTGCATTTTTATATATGGTAGTAGTAGTTGTATAAAAAAATGTAACCCAAAGACCAAACTTGGAGTGGGGAGTGGGGCTACCATATAAGCAAATCTTTGTAAATAAATATCTTTCCAGTCATTAATCTCCCTGCTTCTTGTGAAAGTTCTAAAACCAGTTTCTGCTGTTGAATAATGCATCTAGAGATGTCTCTAGATGTAAGCGATTTCAACCAGGTGTGTTTTGCATGATAGTTTATATCCTGGCAGTTTGCCAAAACCAGTATTAGCTGAATAGCTGTTGACTTTGTTACTCTCAATTTTAATGTCACTCACTGTATTTCTGATATGCAATTTTGGCAGGTTGTGTGCAGCGAAGCCAGAAAGAGAAAAATACAGCATAAATCTTTACAAAAAATTGTTCATATCCTGCTGACCAGTCTTATCCATGAAGTTAGAATTGTGGATGCTCTCGCATGAGCACCCATCAAGTGTTACATTTATGTACTGTACGAGTGCAACGATTGTTTCTCGCTTTGTAAACCTCAGTGTTGGGTGTTACAGCTATTTCAAGTTGGTCTTCTGTTTTTCTGTGCTTTCATGTAGGGGGCATAATGTCTATAGTTGAAGTAGAAGGATTTTGATCTTTCAGGTTCTTGATTTCACGGATGTAAAGTTTCACACGCATGACATGATGTATTGGGCGAACTACGAAGCCCATGTGGATTATGTTGGAGCACATGCATTGTGTTAAAGTGTCGTTGGAAGCATATTATTTCCCAGCTGGCTTTTCTTTCACTATACAAATATTATTCTACCTTTTTTATAGCTTAAAAATTACTTTAAAGTAAGTTCAAAATAAGAGCTTTAAAAATAAAGGAGAAAAACTCTTAAAAAAGAATAAATAGTTTATCTTTTATAAAAGAAAAGTCAGAGAAAGTAACTTAAAAAAAAGTCAAACGAATTAGTTTTTAGAAAGCTTAATTGTGTTTCTAATTTTTTTCAAATATTGCAATTGTATATTTTGGTCTCTAAAATTTTAATTGAGTAATTTAAATTTTTCAAGTATCGTTAATGCACAATTTTAGTTATTTTGATTTAAAATTATATATTATAAATGATTTAATAAATTAATTATTATATATAAAACATAAATGATTATCATGTGTAACAACAATTTTAGGGAATTTTTTTTGGACGAGATGATTTTGAAGGATTCTTTTAACTTCATATTTAACTTGATTTTCATTTATCATAATAATTTATGAATTAAATCTTAATTTTAAAATAAATTATTAATGAATAAAACATAATAATAGTATATTATAAATTATTTATCATAAATTTAAACAAAAGATTTTATATTTAAAAAATATTTATTTATTCAAAATTTAAATATAATTTATATATTTAAAATATAATATTTATTTATATATATAATTTATTCAAACATACTGTATATATATAATATAAAATTAAAAAATATTTGTCTTTTTTAAGTTATATATATAACTATCATTCAAGTATCACATGATTAGAAATGAAAATAGATCAATCTTAAATACAAGTTTATGGTCTAACTTAACAAAAGTGTTAGGTTTAAATTTTAAAAAAAAAACTATTTATTTAAAAGAATAGGATTTGGACTTATAAAAAAATATTAGGTTTAATAGATCAACTTATTTATCTATGATATAATAATTATATATATATATATAACATTATTAATAATATAATTAAATAGATAAATTTGTAATATAAAAAATCAAATTATCAAAAAAAATTTACATTTTCACTACACTTTAATATTTTATTTTACACATCTTGTTTGTACAAAATCAAGGTATCAAAAATAAACTTTAGTAGTTATATTTTTGTCTACTTTTTTCTTTTATCTTCATGGTTGGTTATTTAGAATATTTCAATTGTGATATGATAAATATTTTAAAAAAAATTAATACGATTATCTTTTTTATTACAATCTGTGAGTATTTTTTTTATTTTTTATTTATCTTAAACTCTAAATTTTAATAATAATAAAGTAAACTATTTTTTTATCATGTAAATTAAAAAAGACTTAGAATATAAATTAAACAAATATTGGTACATGCATTTAAAAATATAATTGTTGACTTATTTAAGATTAAATTTATTGTCCTATTTAACGATGTTAATGAAAAATAAACTTTTAAATAAATTAATTACAAAATTAGCTTTTAAATATATTAATAGGTCAGATCAAACTTTTGAATAAGTTAGATTTATAAAAAAAACATATAATATATAATAAGTCAAATTTAGGCTTTAGTTTTATAAAACAGACATGACTTATATATTTAAAACATGACCTGATTGTTCTATTTTCATCCCTACACATGATACATTCATCAATACTAAATAAATAAAATTTATATGTATTACTAGTAATATAATATGATTGATAAAATAATATCAATAATTATTAATGGAGATATTAAATTGCACAATTACGATACTTAAGAGACTAAAATTATTCAAATGATTTTTGAGAGAACAAATCTTTCGAGTGCAATATTTAAGAATTTGAAATTGTTGAATTAAGACTTTAAAGATTAAAATGACACAATTATAATATTTAAGGAACAATAATACTTTTAATTTTCTTAAAAATAAATTGTATATTTTGGTCTCTTTCATCTTATGGTGAACTAATTAATGTGGAACAAAGAAATAGATGTAGTTGATCCAATTTCCTTAAGTAATTAATGTGGAACAAAGAAATTAAAGGAACTTTTTAAGCAATAACTATCGAATAAATGTAGTTGATCCAATTTTCCTTAAGTAAAAATTTAGGAGAAAAAGTTAGTCATAACATTACTTAAATTGATGTATTTATTCATGGGAATTGCTACGGTACCCTCAAAGATCGAGGGGTTTCAATACATTTTTCTATTAAATTCATAAAAAATTAAAAAAAATAATTTAATTATAAAATGAATAATCTAAATTATACTTATAAAATAAAAAGTAAGATAAAATTATAGAGATTAAAATTATAAGATTTTAATAATATTATAAAATATTAAAAAAGGAAAAA